TAGACGATTTTGATGACAACGTAGACTGTGTTGTATCCATTCTCTCGTTTTCGTCAGATAGCGTTGGGAAATCGCTTGAGTTCACTGGAACACTTGTGCATGCCGTGGTCGTTTCCATAGTGGGCGTCTTGAGATTCGGAGTGAAACGCGCCGGGCGTAACAAGTTCATTAGGCACCGCACGCCCGCGCGGACGCGGTGCGAACGTGGCCGCCGGCAGCTGTGCCCTAGGCCAATCCGAAGCTGCTCACTAGGCTTAGGGTGTTCAGTTCACAAAACTCAAAGAAAAAGAGAAAAAGGTTCTCCAAAGACGCTGTCTGTGCGACACAGGCTCACCGTGTAACTGGCATTAAATTCTGCGGCAACGAACCGTGGTCTATCAGCGGAAAAAACTGGTCAAACTTACAAGAAACCAAGGAGCCAAGGTCAGGCACGCCTGCCAACGTGGGCGTCCAGCAGTGCCCCTCCCCCCTTCTCTTATATTCAGAATCGTTTTTGTCTTGAACTTGACCTGGAACTGCCTTCCACCTCAAGAATCCTTCCGGAAGACTTGCTAGATGAAGCCTGTGTCTACAGGAATATGACATCACCGTAGTCTACAAGCCAGGCCAGCAGCACAATGACGCGTATTGCTCGTCACAAGCACAGACCTTATCAGTGCAGACCTTGTCTCCTCAGCATGAACAAGATTCCGCATTTCTTAGAGCCATGAATTGTCTGAGATGGCTCACGATCAGCGAATGGACCCAGAATTACTTCTGCTCATTCAATATTTAGAGAAGCAGCAAGTCGAAGTACCTCGAGTTTTCGTCCGTGGACTACGTTCCTTCGTCCTTCGCAACAACGTTCTTCTACAAGAGTAACTTCGAACACACTGGTGAAACGTTCCTGCTTCATTCATTCATTTATTCATTCATTCACTGTTTATTCAGGCAAAAACAATGATTGCCTAGGTTGGAAGGGCTAAAGGCAGATTACCTCTGCCTGAATAAGTCCCTTCACCCATACATTTGCTCAGGTGAAGTGGAACAAAGGATACAAATTTCATATCCTTCTGATACCTTCGTCACTGCAAGCGGAAATTTTACAAGCGTGTCATAATGACCTATCGGCAGGTCACTCGGGCATTAGTAGGACTTCGGCGAGAATCCTCCAGGGATAATACTGGTCAAATTTCATGGATTCAGTACAGCACTATACACAACGTACCACCCCTAAAGCCAGGAAGTCTTTTGAAACCGATATAACCACCGAAAGTCCCAATTGAGCAGGTTGGAATGGATTGACTAGGACCATTCCTTATGCCATCGTTCAGGAAGCGCTGGATAGTTGTAGCAACCGACTACATGACCCGGTATGCCGAGACGTCATCTCTCACAAAAGGAACGGAAAATGAAGTGGCTCAGCTTTTTGTGATTCAGATAGTGCTGCGAAATGGCACACCTAAAGTCACAACTGACAAAGGAACTGCGTTCACTGCTGGGCTAGAACAGTCTGTCATAAAACTAACGCACACCAACCACAAAAGAACTACAGCGTACCATCCACAAACTGGCGGCTTAACTGAAAGTCTGAACTGGACGCTTGCTGACATGATCGCGAGGTATCTGGACGTCGAGCATAGGACTTGGGACATCATATCACCGTATGCTACATTACCATACAATACAGTAGTACAAGAGACAACCACTTTACGCCATTTCAACTTGTTTATGGTCAGACAGTAATAACGACATTAGACGTGATGCTTCCAGTCAACAGCACGAATGAAGAGGACCCTTACATCTGCAAATATATAGAAAGGGCAGACGAGGCGCGACAACTAGCACGGAACGGAATCATTCAACAGCAAGACGTCGAAGCGCACTGTTACAATCAAAGACGAAGGGACATTCGGTACTCCCCTGGAGACCAAGTGTGGGTCTGGACGCCTCTACGTGCACGCGTGTCCTATCAGAAAAACTTATGCTGCGCTATTTTTGCCCTTACAGGGTTCTTCACCAATTAGGCCCATTAAACTACGAAATGATTCCGGAAGCTCAAGTATGCACAACACGACGCAGGAATCTTCCGGAAGTTGTACATGTAGTACGGATGAAACCATATACTACAACAGGAACTGAACAAGCGAACTGAATCACATCGTCTAACACAAGGACAAGTCCTATTGTTTAGAAACTGTCGGCCGGCTGTACGCATCGGGGCGATGCGTGCTAGGAGGGGGACTAATGCCACAGTTCGACAATCATAGAAGATGCGTGCATTTTTTGCGTTCGTAATATCCGCCACACAAGAACAAAGAAAGCCACGCCACGGAACACCGTCCTGCACGCGCCACGATGCTACGCCACGTGACCGGCACGAGCCTCGAGGTAAAAAGGAAGAGACCAACGAAGTTGGAGACAGCGAGTAAGGTACATTTTGGCTGACCATTTAATTTTGAGTTTACGGGCACAAGTTCGCCCTAAATAAATAGCTGTATAGTACCAGGTCTATATTTATTGGTATATATATATATATATATATATATATATATATATATATATATATATATATTATATAGGCAAGTAACCCTGAATTAAATATTCATGCTGCGCGATGACATTGCCCACACAGCCACTACACTCGGGGCGAGCAATTTATAAACCTTCTTTACCATTTTTAGGACGCCCGAATTTCTGCTTGGGTGCTGTAGAAACTTCCGTATTTACCCACCAAATGGCACACAATGCATAAAGGCGTGACCAAAAGGCGTCATTCCTCTCCTCTTTCGTCCCGGCGTCTAGAGATAGGAGTCAGAGGGGTGAGTAGAGGTGCGTGAGTGGCGAAAGGTGTCATGTGGTTTGGAGGCAATTTTTCTCTCGTACGGTGTGATCGCCAGTTGCGCGTCTCTTACTATTAAAGTGTTTCAACACAAGGCAAAAGAACAACTAGTGCATTCAAGCCATAGACTGCAAGACAGACACTTTGCTCCCTGCAGCAGCTCTGTTTGGTGGAATTAGTGGCTAACCTTTGGTCGCATAAAACTCCAATTGATTGCTATTGCATCCACTGTTTTGCCCTTGCAGTCGTAATGACTTGTTTCATTATCATTGCCAAGATTGGTTTCTTCTGCGCCTTCGAAGCCTTTTTTTTTGCCTTGCAACATCGTGCACAGGTACATATGATCGAGACTCGGTGCGTGAAAAGTTTGAGTCAGTGCTCTACATTGGTGCAAGTGTTCAAAGTCACTGAACTTCGACATAAAAGTTGTTTTGTGTTCTCATTGATCCCAATCACTTGTTGTACCAATCACATCGACTTCATTTGTTTTCTGATAGACGACTGACATAACTGTAAAGAGCTTCTCGCGTTTAGTGTTGCAGCCCTTAAAATTTTTGATGTACTCCAACGTTCAGTGCGTGCGTATCATGGCGGCGACCCGTCCGCTTATTCGGCAGACGGCTCCTGGCGTGCTTGGATGGCAACCGGCTCTGAATAGCTCTTGCGACACTTAGCTCCGGGCACGAATGGTCAGACCAAGTTCGAGTGTAAGGGATCCTGTTTCGTGGTTTGTGTACAGGTGGCCTGGCGCGTTCTTAGCAGCCCAGGTCTTCCTGTTGAAACAGGTCCAAACTATACATCTTTTTTTCTTGAACACCGGCATATTCCCTACGAGGTCCACTGGCTTGTGTGAAGCTCCACGTTTGTATGGCACGTTTACATGCGGCCGCTGTTTCCATTGGAGTTATTATTGCGATAGCAAATATATGGACACTCTTGGCAGGATTATGCCGCCAGTGTCAGCGTCTGCGTCATTCAATGTATATGTATATATATATATATATATATATATATATATATATATATATATATATATATATATATATATATATATATATATATATATATATATATATATGAAAACGCAAGGAAAAAATAATCCAGAAAAATACTGCGGCGCACGGAGTTGAACGTCCGACCTTTGAATCGTGAGTGTGAGGATTTAGCTACTGAGCAAGAAAGAAGCACCTCATTCAACGATGGAATGGCAAGCAATTTATATCTACCACTTACCACTGGATATGGGCATCTTAGGGGAACTATCACGTTTTCAGCATCGCGAGCGAAATGGCGCTATAAGCGCGCATCACCCGATCATCACGAAGTGGCAGCGCGCGCTCTCATCTCTCACACGTACTTTGCCGCGCGGAGAGGGGACGCTCATGCGCGCGCTCGCCTATCTCGCGGTGGGGATAGTCGTACGCCTTGGGCTTTCACCGGAATCGTTATGAAGCAGTTACCGGGCGCAGAATTGTCACTGAACTCGTTGCACTATCTCCGTTTGCGAAAAGGGCGCTTTTTAGATACAGTGAAGTAACAACTGAGGCACGTTTCCGCGTTCATCTGTACCTGTAAGTATATCTCGTGCGTCGTTTGTGCGCGAGAAACGCGAGACACGTTTCCATTTGCTTGCCATTCTTCGCATGACCTTCCATTGCGTTGCTATCGCGTTCATTGTTTTGCCTTTTGGCAAAGCTGTGACTTTTTGACATTCAGCAAAACATTCAACATGGCTTGATATGCATGGCACGGCCTGCCATTTGAGTGCACGTTTTCATGTCAAACACTCTCCTTCAGGGCCGCTGCAAAGGAAAGTGGAGTTTGAAGCACTGAGTTACATTAAAACACACATGAAACACATCACAACACAATAAAATAGAAATATTTCTCTGTTGCGCTCGCACTAAGTATTCATAGAGTACTGAATGGTGCCAAAATCATTTATCCTATTTGGAGGACAATACTCGCCATTTAAAGCTAAAAATTGAAATTTTGGAAAGTGCATGTCTGTAGTTTAATGTGATCGTGTACTGCAGAAGCGAGTCCTTTGGCATATAATTCTCTGATCTTATTGACGCCTCCATGAATAATACAAGCAATGCTCTCTGTATGAAAATGTTGGCAGAGGACAAAAGCTTCGCAAACAAAACAAGTCCTAACACTGTGCATTGTGTCCCAGGCCCAGGCGTTCTTCAAGCTACATGATGATCCTAAAATATTTCTCACACTTGTCGGATCTTCGAAACTTGAGGTGAGGTTTATGTTCAATAACTACACGTTCCAAAGGCTAATAACCCATTCACGTTTTTGCACTTTCAGGACGAAGCCATGGTAACTGAAACCACTACGAAGGATAATAAGTTGAACGCATCAGAGACTATGGACAGACTGCGCACGAAAATGACTTGGGATGACACCTTGGACCCCAGTGTCGACGTGGTATTTCTAGTGACAGGGTGCGTAAAAAACGATGTCCACACGGCCTAAGAAGAATAACTTCGATTCTGTTATTTCGAGCGAGACAGCATCAACAAACTTTGCAGTAATATTTTTCGGTGAATTGAATAGACAGTTTTCATAGTTGTAAAGCTTGGTATGCTGCGATGTAGTTAGCCCAACGGATGGTGTCTAGCTACGTCTGCAAACAGGGTGTTAAAGTGCAGTTTGCTGCCTTCCGACAGGTTAAATTCAGGCGCAGCTTTAATAATATTAACATGTACACTGAGCAAACCCAAGCATGTTCCACCAAGACCTCCTTTCGCCTCGAAGAATGACACGTTCCGCCGTTAGTGGGATAATTATGCAACGTAAGAAGTGTTTTTGTGGATTACGAAAAGGGTTTATGAAGTGAAAACAATCTAGCGAATTCGGAAAGACGTCGAAGCAGCCAAGCAAGCAAACCGCTGTGTTCGTGGTTTGCCACGTGACTGCCGAGTTTTAGCATTCATGTAGCTTGGTTTCGCGCCGTTCGCTGTTCTTCTCCGCTTCCTCGTGGCGTCTTAAATGTTCACATTTACATGAATCACATGGCAGAAAAAAATTTCCACACCACTGACTCATAAAAAACTCCCAAGCATTTCCCCAAGGGTGAACATGGTTAAGTGCGAATACACGGGGTGATGCTATGAGGGGTATTTATTAATTCGCACTATTATATTTATTAATCACACTATGGTGCCTTTATGGTGTAATGGTTCCTGGGAATCGCAATTTGATCACACGGGGGAGTTTACGTTAACTCACTGGCGAATGCCAACGGATTTTAACTTTACTCGCCCTCACGACCCGCTCTCGACGGGAGACTGAGAGAGAAGGCGGGCGCGCGAGAGAGAGGGGTGCGCGCGCAGCTGCAGCGAGCGAGGAAAGTGGAGGAGCGAGCAAAGGGTGATGGGGTATAAGGCGCGTTACTGACACCGATATCAGCGTCGCGTCCGTGGCTTAAGGCCAAACCTCGTAAGCGCGGAAATGCACACGACAGCGACAAGCGACGCGACGTAGACCGGCTTCGCGCGATCAGTCGCTAGCGCAGGCAAACCTGATTCACGCGACGGCTTCGGCGAGCCAATTCCACTGTTGCTGGCAAGAGGCCGTCTACTCGCACCAAAAAAACCGCGTTGCGAGCGGTATGCAATTTAAAAATAAGATATATTGTTGTGTAATGAAACGGAAAGTGTTTATTATTGCCTTGCAGCACTTTTTATATGCACATGCGTAACAAACATTGCGTTATTTCTTGTTGCGCATTCGTGACTCGGGCAGGTTCACGTGCACCTATGTAGTCTGTCTTTTCCGGTATTTCGCCATTGGCTGCTTGAGCCCAGCACTTCCGGGCGATGAGCGACGGTTTCCAAATCTGGAGAACCGAGCGATCGCGCGAAAACGAGCACGCGACACGTCGCGCGAACGCCCTGTTTCGTCGCTCTTAGCGTCGCTCGTCGCTGTCGCGTGCATTTTCGCGCTTATGAGGTTTGGCCCTTATTCAGTAGAGCGTCGCGCTGCGGCCCGCCAAGTCCTCTTTCTTTTAAAGATAGAGAGAAGACTGCGGACGCCGCCGACGGCGGTGGATGGTTTGGGGTCGCTTATAAAGTGTATTCGCACTTAAAACACACTCGCCCGAATTTTCAATCTTGCCCAAATGCAAGATGAATCCACTTTGTATGAATTCATAGTAGAAACGCAAAAATGACCTCAGAACCTCTAAAATACCAGAACATTTCATGGGCCACAATTGGAAACAAAGATATTGCGTGAATGAGAATCTGTCATTAGAAAAGTATGGAACAAGCTAAATTTGTTTTCACAAGAATGAAATTTAAATTGCTACTGCCCGTCATCTTTCTTAGGCTGAAGTTGGACGTTGCGAGTGCGTACATAAAATGAGTCGTCCTGCACATGATCCTTTGCACGCTTGATATCTACCATAAGTTCCACGGTGCACCCAGTCACCTCTAGACTTATCACTTCGCTACTTGCTCCTGCTCTTTCCCCACACCAGACACACCTAGATGACGCGATTTAATTTCCGTTAAGATTTGAAAGTGCAGTTAAAGTGAGAATGAAAGTTGCTTACCGTTGCTGTCACGCTGTGTGCGTTCTAGTTTTTTCGCGACATATCGACGCCACCTCGTGTTGACAATAGCCTAAAGAATGCGAGTTTGAGCCCCAGCCGAAGTGGCCACATTTTGATGGGCGCTCAATAAAACAGTACCCGCGTACAATGATTTACGTGAGCTTCTGAAAAGTGTCAAATTGTCGAAATAATGCGGAGTTCTCTGCTAACGTCCCTTAAAAAAAAGGTGATTTTGGCTCGTAATATGAACAACTTGTTAAGCTATATAATTATGATGCCTATTCACATGAGGCTGGCCCTGCATGTGCTGTAAGATATATGTTGCTGTACTCGCACTTGTAGTCTCCAATATAGCATAAACAAGCAACCTTTATGCGAGTTCCCTTGATTGCAATGGGCAGCATATGAAAAGAAATAGGCAGATCCCACGTACAGTGGGAATCGATGATATGCGAAACACGATTCAGGAATGTTGATATGTCACTTTAAAATCAGCACGACGTTAAGAGGTGGAGGTATAGGATGCCGTACATGACTTCCGTGTCCCGGTTATCATGTTTAGATGTGTCGTTTACCTTAGTCCTCTATTCATGTCACGTGATACCAAATTTAGTATACGTGGAGCTAGCAAAACGGCCGCGAGCACGCTATGAGCATGGTATGTGTTCATATTCCTACATGATACGCGTGTCAGGGTTATGATGTTTCCACCACTCCTATATTTCGTCATTCATTGACGTCACGTAACACCGAATTAGGTATATGTGGAGCTAGCAAAACGGCCACGAGCGCATCATGAAGGGACCAATATACTTCAGTGTAGTGTTGATGCGCGCGCACGCTGGGCACAGCGACGCTACGTTAGCAAAACACAAGCACTCTACATAGCCTGACGCCAGGCGCGACCAGCGTCCGTCCGCGTGGCCCAAAGGCAAGCGGCGCGAAATGCGACATGCTGCATTTCGCGCCGATACGTTACCCACACAACACTGCGTCTCCCTCTTTTGGTGACGGAGAGAGGCCGCGCACGCTGAAACGCATATGCGTCAAAGTAACGCAGCGTGGTGCGTGCCTGCGAGTATATGGCAGGACCGATGCCTGGCGTGGCAACGCTGGCGTGATAGGACAAAATGAACGCTGGCGAGCACGCGCACCACGTCACTTCGATATGTATTGGCACCTTGACTGTGATTGGTGATTGATATATAGGGTTTAACCTCCCCAAACCCCCATAATATTATGAGTGACGCCGTAATGGAGGGCTCCGGAAATTTCGACCACCTGGGACCTGGGGTTCTATAACGTTCACCCAAATCTGAGCACATGGGCCTACCACATGTTCCCCTCCATCGGAAATGCAGCCGCTGCAGCTGGTATTCAGTCGCGTGACATGTGGATCAGCAGCCGAGTACCTTAGCCACTAAACCGCCGTTGCGGGACTTAACTGTGTCATCTAGTCATGTTCTCGCATCACACGCAACTCATGATTATCATGTTTGCACCAGTCATGTACCTTCGCCATTCATTGACGTCACGTGATACCGAATTTGGCATGTGTGAAGCTAGCGAAACGGCAGCTAGCGCATCTTGAGTGTCGCATGTAGTCAGGTTGTTACATGACACGCAAGTCATGATTATCATGTTTGGATGTGTCATATACCTATGCCGTCCATTCACGTCTCGTAATACCAAATTTGGTAGAAGTGAATCCAGCGAAACGGCCACTAGCGCATCATGAGCGTGGCATGTAGTCTAGTTGTTACATGACACGCATCTAATGATTATCATGTTTGCACCAGCCACAAGCCTTCGTCAACCATTCACTTACCGTAATACGAGATGTGGTATATGCGACGTTAGCGAAACGGCCGCGAGCGCATCATGAGCATGGCATGTAGTCATGTTGTTACATGGGACGCATGTCACAATTTTCGTGTTAGGGTCTGTCGCTAGTGTTCGCCATGCAATCATGTCATACCATACCAGTTTTGCAACATCCCATCTAAACGAAACCACCGTAACAGCTTCAGGACCATGAATTGTAAATGATGACATTCAGGACATACACGTCATGATTTTCATGTCCTGGCTAGTCAAGTATGTTCTTCATAGAGTCATGTTAAGCCATACGAAGTTTGGTATCGATAGCATTATCTAAACGGCCCGGAGAGCTAAAAGTCATAGGAGATAGATAGATAGATAGATAGATAGATAGATAGATAGATAGATAGATAGATAGATAGATAGATAGATAGATAGATAGATAGATAGATAGATAGATAGATATATAGATAGATAGATAGATAGATAGATAGGCAGACAGACAGACAGACAGACAGACAGACAGACAGATAGCTAGCTAGCTAGATAGATAGATAGATAGATAGATAGATAGATAGATAGATAGATAGATAGATAGATAGATAGATAGATAGATAGATAGATGGATAGATAGATAGATAGATAGATAGATAGATAGATAGATAGATAGATAGATAGATAGATAGATAGATAGATAGATAGATAGATACGCTCAAAGTCACCGAAATTCGCTAAAAAATGATTTAAAATCATTTGTCAGGAATGCATAAATGCTTGTGAGTTACGTTTCTCTGGCCTTTTATAGCGTAAGTTAGGAGCTTACTACTGCAGCTGACTTTGGCAGCGTAGTTGTCCGCAGTCGCTTGAGACGACGAGAAAAAATCCGCCTCTTCCCCGAAGAAAATCGTAAGAAATTGCGAATGCACTTCTTGCACCGAGAGTAAACGGCGTAGTAATTGTAATGGCGTAAACTGATGACGACATGAGGATATGTACCGTAACAATTTATTTACGCATTCATCAGTCAGCGGACGGTCGAGAGTGAGGCGCCCGCTTCACTTTGTTTATATATAGACCTTTGCATCGGGTGAGGAGG